CTCCTGCGTTTCCTCCTCTTCCTTCTCTTGATCCTCCCCGTCTCCTCCCGTTTCTCTTGTCCGTCCTTCTTCAGCTCCCCCCATCATTATTCCGGCATCTTTTCCCCTTAATCTTCGTCGTCCTCGCGCCACTTGCGAAGCTCAGGGCCCGCCGCAGGCAATAATCTTCTCTTCAGAGATAGTTCATTCCAGTTGCGAAAATAGTCTTCAATGTTAGTCGGGTAACCCTCGCTGGCGCTGTGCCATCCCAGTGTTCTGGGTTCGACTCTTCAACCTTCGACTCAGCGGGCCTAATTGGGAAAACATGCATGGGCACCAAGATGATCCGAGAGGGCCCCGGCATGCCCTCATCATTATGATCGCCTCGTCTGCGCCTCATCCCCCTCTCGTCCTTCCGACTCAACGGTTCACACGTATTACGCGACTCTTCCTGGTCTTTCTCCTCGGTTTCCCCCTTTTACCCGCGGGGAACCAATGGGCAAGGCAACATAGGATGTATCGGAAAGCCAAAATACCGTTCACCAGACCGTCAGCGTGGCCCACACACACACACACACCATTCATTCCAGCAGTTGGGCAAGCGAAAATGTTACAAACAAGCGAATTTAGCACGCAATGGCATTGAGCACGCGCGCTGGTACGTGGTCGAAGTTATCTTCTATCTGATCATTCGGTGTTCTTGTTTTTGTGCGCCCATCAGCAGACAGCGATCGCGCGATACCCCTCTTGAGTTGCCCGCCCCCCTCGCGGCTTCAGGGATCCAGATGTCCAAGATTATGTCCAGGACATTTCCGCCGCTCCACTGAGGAGACTCGAACAAGAGCGCGCGCAAAGCGCGCGCGTGTGGTTCTAGTATGTCTACCTCTGTGTATGCACGTGCACACATACCAGACCCATATACCATAGACGTCTACACACAGTTATGTATATATACGCACATAAATATTCACCGACATACATGTACTGTCAACCCGCATAGTAAGGATGAGCGGCTTTCCAAGGTTACCCTTGCATCCTTCCTCTTTGGCCCATCCTTGGCCGCTTTCGCTGGCCGCGCCCCGCCCGCAAAGCGTCGACGTGGCCTTCCAAGGCCCTTGCATCCCTACCGCGCGTCCTACGGGTTGACTGCATTCCAGGTACATTATGGCAACAACCACCCTGGCAAGTAGAGACGGCTGGCCCCACAAGCTCCGCGTGGTGACGGCACCTCTTCCCGAGCGGGCAAGAGGCGCAGTGCGGGCGCCGCACGGTCAGCGCTCAAAACTCGTCGGACAGCGCTCGGCGCAGTGGGACCCCCACACCGCGCCGCCCCCGCTTCGGAACGCTCTGAGAAGGCCGCGGCGCCCGAGACATCCTGCAGATTTGCCAGCTCTTACGTATCCTCATCACCCGTTTTTATCCTCGTCCTGGCTTCGTTTGACATGCACCCGTTCCGTTGTGACATCGCCCTGTTTTTCGATGGCACCTGCGCGCGCGCAGAGCGTGCGGGCGCCGGGCATGCCTCGTGGCTGTTGTTTGTCTTCCTTTTCCAGCGGCTAACCCCTGCTTCACCCCGCCATGACTGCGAACTCTCGTGGGGGGTCAGCTGTACAAGTGTGCACTAGTCGGACCGTTGTTTTTTCGGAACATGGACAGTACGTTGTGTCGCTCCGCCTGTCGCACACACAGACACACACATACAGACACACACACACACACACACACTCCTGCACGCGGGATATTCCCCGCAAGTTTCACCCTGGTACTCGCCAGTGCTGTTCGAGCACGCCCCAAACAGTGCTTGCATTTAGAAATTAATTATCGAATGGCCGTCCGCCCATCCCGCCACCGTGTCTGCGTTGTAGGTCAGAAGTCTCTTGAGTGTTCGCTGGGATTTCGTGATAGGCATCTCGGGGGCCTCTTGGAGGCAGGTCTGAAGCCTCCTAGGGGTCGTTTTGGAGTCTCTTTCGGGCCTCTTCGGGGCCTCTTGGGGCCTCTTGTGGGCCTCTTGGGGCCTCTTGGGGGCCTTCTGGGAGCTTTCCGGGGCGGAAAACTCAAACTTTCGGATCGCGTTCTCCCTCGTGGGCCCCTCTTGGGGCCCTCTTGGGCCGTCTTAGGCGGCTCTTGGACCGTCTTGGGGCCCTCCGGGGCCGTTTTGGGGGCCTCCTGGGGGCCTCTTGGGCCGTCTGGGGGCGATCTTAGGGGCCTCTCGGGCCGTCTTGGAGCATCGGAGAGCCGCAAAGGCGAGAAGGCCAAGAACTTTCAAAAATCAAAGGGACATCTAAGATTTTGGCATTGCGGGGCCTTCTTCAGAAGGCTCTTTCTTGGAGGACTCTTGGGGCGTGTTGGAGGGCTCTTGGACTGTCTTGCCAAATTGGGCGTATTGGAGCGGCCTTTAGGCGTCTGGAGGCCCTCTTGGACCATCTTGGGGGTCTCTTGGGCTCTATTGGCCCGTCTTGGGGCCCTCTTGGGCCACAAAAAGTTATGCGGGGAGATGAGCCAGATCCCCGACGCGACGCGGGAAGCCCTGGTAGATGTGGCAATTTGGGCTCTGGGTCCCTAAAAGACCCCTCAGGAGTGAGGGTTCAGGCTTGAGGATTAAGCATTGAGGCTTGAGGATTGAGGCTTGGCGATTAGGCAAAGGATCTGAGGAGTACACGTCCACCGTGTGCCCAGCACGCAACGGTGGCGGACTGCTCTGGTGCCTCAAGTTCACCGAGCGTGTTCCATCATTCGCAAAGTGCCTACTCGCAAACGTCCGGAAAACACATGCCTGCTTCGATGTCATTTATCGTAGATCCCCCGCGGCGGATCCAGGCCATTTGCGAGTAGTTACATTGCGAGTAGTGGAACGCGCTCGTCTAGAAGTGGTTGAATGGGCTTCCTGGGTGTTCGCCACGTTGGCGCCCTTGCCCGCTCGTGGGCTCCTCGTGCGGAACCCGTGCGCTGGGTGGGTTTCCCGAGGCTTGGCCAGACCGGCGCCCGTGCCCGCTCGTAGGCGTGAGCTCCTCGCGGGCGCCCCGTGCGCTAAGTGCGTGTCCCGCTGATTCGCCGCGTTGGCGCCCGTGCCCGCTCGTAGGCGCCCCGTGGGCGCCCCGTGCGCTGGTGGGTGTCCCGGGGAGATTCACCGCGTTGGCGCCCGTGCCCGCTCATAGGCTCCTCGCGGGAGCCACACAGCGTGCACCGTATAGCTCAGACATAGCTTTCGCAACACAGCTCGCACCACATAGCTTACACAAAAATAGCGTACACACCACATAGTTTGCACAACATAGTTTACACCTCATAGCTTGGCTTGCACCGCATAGCTCACACAACATAGCTCACATCACACAGCTTACACACCTTGGTTTACACCACAGTGATTGTATCGCTCATGACTACATAGCTCACAGCACATATGTCACACCACGAAGCTCACGGCACATATCTCGCACAACATTGTTTGTGTCACATAGTTCACACCTCATAGACTACACCGTGGAGTTTTCACATCCACAGTGAAAGACTTCACGGCTTGGGGTCCAAGCTTGCTAACAGCTTTTTTGTTTGTCTCTGGGCAGTCAATCGGAGCAAATGGCCGCCATTTACTTCGGGAGTTTCTTGTCCGTGGTGAGGGGTCTAGGTTGCCCTACGGCGACGCGCGCTCAATTAGCCGAAAGCCGTTGCTGTGGTCACAGAGGCTGTGGGTCATTGGACTAGGTTGCTCCAAAGTGGATCCTGACCCCGCCCAACGGAGCCCCAATCTCGAATCCCAGGCCTTGGCCCTGACCCGAACCCAGACCCAAAATCCTAATCCCGACGTTGCCTTGACCCCACGTGAGCCCTGAGCCGAACCTTAACTCTACCAGCGCTGGCCCAAGCCACCGCCCAGGCACCCTGACACCTGCATGGTTTCACCCCCAAAGCATTGAACTGCACACTTCGAACCTACCCCCTCGCTTTTGCACGAGCGCTCCCTGACCGCCTCTTCCGCAACGGCAGTGGTGGATTCGAGGTCACACGATTCCAATTCATTTCGGACGATACTTCTTGAGCGCGTGGGAAGCTCGCGCAAGGGCTCCTAGCCTATCTCGATGCACACCGACAACACAGACGCAGAAGCGGTCGGCGTTCGATGGCAGTTCATCGCGGATGGAGTGTTTCCAGCGTGGCGGGCGGCGGGCAAAGCAGCAGTTGCACTGGCTACGACTCTCTTATCCAGGCGTCGCGAATAGGTCAAGGTCGTTTCCACCTCGCTGGGAGCCCCGAGGCCCTCGCGGGTCGATCCGGCCTGAGAAATGCCGCAGAAAGATGTGGCCAACCGTTTCGGTTGTGATTCTTCACGGCGCTAAATTCTTGATCGCGTCGAATGTCTGGGTGGGGCCGAAGAGGCAGCTTCATTAAGCTTCCAGGGCGCGGGCGTTGGCGAAAATCTGCCGAGCTTCATCTTTGAGATGCCGGGGTCAGCGCTACGAGGCGGGGGGGCGCGCCAGTGTCGGCCAGATCGGGGGTCTTGGGCGCTGGAAGCCCTCGTGCTCCCCGCGTTGGCCTCTCCGAGCACCACCGACGTCGAGAAGTTCTTGTGGCGCACAGGTAGGAGAGGAGGCCAGGAAATGATGGGAACCAGCGTGCGAGCTCTGTGGAGTAAATGTTCGTCCGCCTCCGGCCGAAAGCTTCCTCTCGCGCAGGGCCCCGGGCCCATGGACCCAGGCGAGCTGCAGAGTACCTGTTTGTCCCGTGCCTCATGAAGCTCGGCCTCCGTAGGCCTGTCAACAGTCTAAGGCGTCATCCGTGCTTTCGCACTCCGCAGCCCGTAGCCGTTAGTTCTGGCTCAAGCGAGGCCCATTTCTCATTGCCTCCCAAATTTGGTCCGAGCAGATGGTGCCAGAGGATCGCTCCGCATCGCCGATGCATCGGCGATGTGGCTCGACGCGGAGCCCGATCTCCTTCACGCGGACGTCGCCGGTGCATCGCCGACATCGCCGAGGCATCGGCGATGCATCGACGATCCCTCACCGATGTATCGGCGATTCGGCGAGATCCTCGGACCCCACCCACTCCGCTCCCATCTGGGAAGCCGCTAATTTCTGAGGCTGCCGCGACGGGTCGCGAGGTCAGGCTTCCGCGTGGCCACTTTCCCAGCGGGGCCATGGTGGCTTGCGGAGGCGCCAGTGGGCAGAGCCACGCCCCCTCCAAGGCCTCCCCTGGCCCTTTGCTGCAGGCCCGCCGGTCGAGGAGCGCTCCCTCGCTCCCACACGCCTACAACCTGCGCCAGTACAGCGTCGACCGCGGGCACATAGCACGTTCGAAGGCTCGAGTCTCTCACCCACTGAGCCACGTCGACCTGTTGGGCGGCAACGGCCAGTGGAGGCAGAAGAGGGCGAAGGAGCAGTGGGTGATCGACCAGGTCGAGGCGGAGAAGGAGCGGCGGGAGCGCCAGGTCCGCGAGGACGAGAAGAGGAAAAGGAGGGAAGAGCGCGAGGCCAGGAGGCGCAAACAGCAAGAGGAGGAGCAGCAGCGCCAGCGGGTGCTGCAGGAGAAGGAGCGGAGGGAGCGCCTCGCGCAGGAGGAGAGGGAGAGGCAGGAGGAGGAGGAGAGGCGCCTGAAGGCGCAGCAGGAGGAGAACGAGCGGCTGGCCAGGCAGCCCAAAACGTGCACCACGTGCATGGGTTCTGGCAAGTGCTCCGTGTGCGACGGCAAAGGGTTCTTCTTCGCCTTTTTCCTGGCGCCCTCCGTGAGCAAGGACACCGTGATGGACTTCGGCCGCGCGCAGCAGGGTTGCCCAGAGTGCGGCGGCTGCGCCCAGAACATTCGCGGCGCCCTGGTGCAGGGCTCTGGCGATTGCTACAAGTGCGACGGCGTGGGCAAGGTGGCCCCGAGTGTGGTGGACAGCGACCCTGACCCCACAATGAAGCCTCGTCTCCGCGCCGAGAAGACCAGGAGCTTCAACGTGGGAAAGGCGCGCGTGAGCTCGGATTCCGTTGGCCTCGGTCATTCGCAGAGCACACGCAGTCCCATGTCGGGGGAAAGCACTTGCAATTCTGGCGAACTCAGCCCATGAGCGCCGCACCAGTGTTGGAACCTCGCCCGCTCAAGGGACCCGCTCACCCCGCCTCCTCCTTCTATTTCCACATCTACTCATCTGTACTGTTCAAGGAGGCGAGCAGCTCTCTGGGGAGGGAGGGGGAAAGGGGAAAGGAGGCAGGACGAGAAGGGACAGGGAGACTTGGTTGTCTTTGCGCTTTGCATTTGCGTCTACTGGGCCACGAATTCGAGTTTCGTTTTTGTCCAGGCTTGTCCTGTGGCACTTGGGGCGGAGCAGGCGCCTCACTTCTCCACCAGGCGCCCGCTCTGCTATGCGCCCATGCGGCCCCGTGTTCCTGCACGAGCTCTCGAAGTGTGGGCGGCTTGTCTCCAGCTTCCTGCTCCTCTGTGTCTCCCTCCCGCTGTCACGAGGGAGGGCCCTGCCCCATCGCCTCATCGCCCCCGTTCCTGTCCTGTCTGCTCAGGGCTGCTGCCACTGCTGGCGCAGCGCTCTCACTCTCCAAGGCTCCCCTGGCCGTGCCCTCCTCCGGATTTCGAGCGGGACGGGCAGACGCCCGCAGGCCGGCAGCACCGCGAGAAACGAGAGGAGGCACCATGGGCCAGAGGGGTGGAGTGGAGGCGATGCGGCGGGCCAGCCTTTGCGCAGCGTGATGAGCCCAGCGCCCTCGCTGGCGATCTCCCCGCGCTCGAGAAGGCATGCCTCCGGCACCTCCGCGGCGGCGGAAAGAGGCGGTCCGCACATTCTCCCGCGCGGGGCCCCCGGAAGCTCCGCCGTTCTGGGGGCCCTCGCGAGGATCACCGCTGGCTGCCGGGAAGGGGGCCCCCGAGCCTCGCGGGGGCGGGGCGGTGAAGCAGCCGAAGGGCGTGCGTCAGCTCATGGGATGAGCTCGCGAGCGAATCGTTCGGAGAAGGAGGAGGATTGGGTCACCCGTGTGGGGTCTCGGCGCTGTGGTGCTTCCAACCACGGCCTGATGCATGCCAAGAGACCTCACCCAACGACAGGCCACACACACCCCGCGACTATGGGTACCACCCTGGGCCTGGCACCCCATCGATCCACGCCCCCGCACCGGCTACAGGTACCCCTCCCCCAGACCACAAGTACCCAACCCCTCCCG